TGTACAGAGAGGCAGCAGAGGAATGGCAGTGACAGGGGGTTCATTGAGCTGGGTCCTTGAGGCTGCCCTCAAGGTGTGTCTGTACAGCCTCTGAACCCTCAGCAGGCCTTGGTCTTGGCTCTCATCTCTGAGGGGGGCTCTAACATAGGCAATAATAACACCAATGGTGACGATGATGCTAATGAGAGTCTGATAACTGAGATTTTTTCATATGGTCCAGAGACTCCATGCCTCAGGTTCAGCTCCTCCAGAGCAGAGATGTTTATGTTTATACTCATTTCTGGGGGGAGGAGAGTGTTCCTACCCAGAGATCAAGTCCACGGGGAGAGAGAGTTGTGGGATGATTTTTCTGTTGTGAGTAACAAAATTATGATCAGAAAAAAAGAGGAGGGAGACAGGAAAATGTGGGTGATGTTGTTATTACCAAAACGAAAGAATTTAGATATAATCATAGCAGTTAGGGAAACGTGTTTTTAAAGACCTTGAGAGAGGTCATAATGAGAGTTTAGTTTGTAGATCTAATCACACTTTACAAGACCATATGCCAGTTCCCAGTGGTGTCCATAGTGAACAGCAGGACATCAGTAATTTTCCAGATGTGGCTTCCCCCCTAGAAGGACAACAAAACCAGTGAGAAGGACTGGAGTGACCCAGCACTGGGGGAGTCTCTGAACTCCTTTGGACTGGGATGCTCTCATGAATAGTTTGGTTGTTGCCTGGTTACACTGGCATTAATTCTTCTCCAGTGTGACAGAGCCCACAGAGAGAAGGAGAAACTGGGAGAGGGATCATAGGTTCTAATTTTATGGAAATGTCCTCATAAAACAGAGCTGAAGCGTGCGCGCCATAACATCTGTCCCAGATACCCAGTGAGCATTTGGAGCCACATCAATAGTGGGGCACAAGGGAGGGGTGTTTGGTGCCAACAGGGCACCTTCTAAAGGTGCCAGTGCAGAGATCACGGTCTCAGGTTCTGCCCTGAGCTTTCTCTAACTTAGCAAACGTGCTTGTTTGGCCTCCTTTGGTCAGATCCTTCTCTCCCCTAGCCTTGGGGCACTGCCCCTGTCCCACTGCAGCACAAGCACCTTCCAGGTCAGAGCACTCAGCAGCATAGAGGTCACAAGGGACTCTGGAATCACCAGATCTTCTGGTTTTGCTTAGACAGAGTAGTGTCTCTCACAAACTCTAACTGTGCTTGAGGCTGCGACCTTTTGGAGGAGAGCGCTTGGAAAAGATAGCCCAGCGAAGGAGGAAAAATGACATTCCCCAGGGAAGGAATGTGCAGTCATTTGTTGTCTTCTGGAGGTTTTGCTGGCAGCCTGGCACCCTTGCTCCAGGTTGCTCTTTCCTTCCATCTTGTGTGTTTTGTGCCCATTTTGTGACTGACATCAGCTCAGGGAAGGAGCTGTCCTTCCCTGTCTGACAGCAGCTCCTGGTGTCACCCTGATGCAGCTGACTCACAGCTTACTCTGGAGGAGCAGGGAACAGTCTGAGATCCACCAGAAGCAACCAAGTGCCTGCACGGTGCCTTCAGACAGACTCAGAACTGGGCTTTGCTTGCACCTCTGGATGCAGTGAACGTATTGTCACTTCCCCAGAGGGATTGTGACAGTGACAGCTTTCCATGGGAGCAAGGAGTGGAGTTTGCTAATGAGCTGGAGAGGGAGGGAGGACATTTCAGTCAGGGACTGTTCTCCCAGGGCAGTGGCACATCAGGAGCTGCTTGGCCAAGCGAGCTCTGCCTGCCCAGGGCTGCAGAGCCGAGCAGGAGAGCGGCTCCAGCCAGGGCTGTGCCAAGGACAACGTGCTGCTCTACATGTTACTGAGCCCTGGGCCAGGGGCTCGCAGGAGAAAAGGAAAAAGCCCTCGTGGGAGATGGCCTATTTTTAATGAGCCCAAACCTCTTCCACAAATTAAGTGAAATATTTTAAAAGGAAACAATATTACTTTGGGTTTATTTGTTTCAGCTACTTAGTTACAGCTCCACGTGGACACAATTAATGGAGGAAATAGAGTATTTTATAAGCCCAGGACTCTGAGATAGATATTTTGTGACCATATGAAATTCTTTGCCCTAATCACCACACATTCCTAGGCAGAAGGTTGTATATTGCTGAAGATTATTAACCTTGATTCCAAAAATGTGTCTAGTCATTGAAAGGCAAAGGTCAAAAATTGTCATGGCATTATTGTGCCAGTTTGCCCTCCACTTTCCACTAAATTCCATGCTGTCCATCTCTGGCTCAGGTCTGCCCTAATAAAGTATTCCTCAGCAAGAAAGAGAAATGTCTTTTCCACTGGAGCAAGTGTGATTTCCTAGATCCTTCAGACTCCCTGTGACTTCATGTAAATCACTTGGACCCTTCAGTACCTTATTTCTTGATGATTTGGGGGTTTCTTTTAATAGAATATGATTTCCCCTTTATTTGCTTGTTTGCAGGATGATTTTTTTCAAGGCAATGAATCATCTTATTTTGGTAGTATCTAACACCAACCTCTCTGACCTTTGCTCGTCAGAGAATAAAAACAGATTGAGATAAAAACCTGGGGATGAACGTTGTTTAGATGAAGAGTTTCATTTGTGCCCTGTCCTGCTTTCTTGATGATAGGTAACAACAAAGAAGTCATCCTTAGAATAAAAAAAAATGGGCTTTTTCAGTTTTCTGAGACTGCTTCAAATATCAGAGATGGGGCCCACAAAATACCAGGGGAGGGAGTTGTGGCAGGAGCGAGTGGGGCAGCAGGGTGTGATTTCTGGGTGGAGAGAGCTGAGCATTTGCTCAGGTCCATGAGCGTCAGGAATCAGCCATGGCTTCTCCCAGGCAGGCCCAGCTGTCCTCCCTCGCAGCTCCCAGGGCAGTGCTGGGCAGGCAGCATTGCCCAGGAGGAGGAAAACAACACCTCCTGATGCTGTCATCTCTGCTAATGTCCCCAGAGCAAACCCAGAGAGCAGTAAATAAACAAAGACCCCCTCTGCCTGCCCCTCAGCCCGATGATGAATTTGGGTTACTGTACACGGCGCTGCTCGGCCGTGCGGGGCTCTGGGAATCCATTAGTAGGGCAAGGGTGAGTGACTTCTGACTTCAGCGACCCTTAAAGTTAATCCAGCATTGTAGGGGCAGAATTAAATGTGATGAGCTCAGAAAGTGTGATAAAACCAGATTTAAGTGCACAGCTGGACAGCAACCTATAAAGGCAGAATTTAAAACCGTAATAAAAACTTTGTAATCTAATTACGACGGCAGAGTTAAAGGTGAGGTATTTGCAGCATGATTCACATGCACCATGGCTAACCTCTGACATCTTGAATATATTATGTGGTTTCTTCACTACAGGCGTAATTTTTGAGTTACTCTCTCACACTACATGGTTCCCTGTGTTTTATTCTCAGGCACTGTCTCTGGAGGTTGCAGGGCTGGGCAAAACCCTCTGCCTTCCTGTGCTTCTGCCTCCAGGGGTCTCTGGGCTGCTCCTCCCCACGCTCTGGGCAGCTGGGCAGGGGCTGCAGCAGGTGCACAACACCTCCAAAATATTGCAGCTGCTGGGAGAGTTTGAGGAGAAATTGCAGCAAGAGTGGCCATGTCTGGAGCTGGTTTTAGCCTAGCTAGACTGAATACCAGGGGAGGGAGGATGCAAAGGAAGTTAGAGCTTGGATGCAGGATACAGTCCCAAGCAGTGTCGCTGCCATCCTGTCTTCCTTGCAATTGGCACCCAATTAACACCACCACTGATAGCAGCCACGTCTCTGATTTCAGTGTTGGCTTGTCCAAACACCGGAGGGAGGGAAAAAACCAACCTGTGAGCCCTGCCTGGCTGCTCTGGACTGCTGCCAGTGACTGACAGAGCCTGCTTTGCCCATCTGGTGCAGAGGGCTCTCAGCAGGGTGGGCACTGCCAAGTGAGACAACAGCCTCAGATCCAAGTCTGGCATCTGCCAGCAGATGGGTTTGGTGCTACACTGGAGCACAGGTCTGTTCCCTGGCTCTCTTTGAGCACTGCCCAGCATCCCAAGAGCCCTTCATGTGTGGGCAGGTGTAGTGGTGAGATTCAAACACATTTGCTCAAGTTGGCAACAGCTCTGCAGTAACACCTGAAGGGGTCTCACTTTCTTCAGCCAGCCTATGTCAAGACAGAAGTTTCAAATTAGAAATCTACCCCATGTGATAATTCTGATTGTTTTTCTGTATCCCAAATACCAATTCAAAAATGGAGCAAAAATGTCAGAAGAAAATCTTTCTATACTAAAGGAGGTCTACGCATTGGGGGTTTTCTTAAGCTAAAATTACTTGGTGGCATTTCTGAAATCAAATTTCATTCTTTTTGAATTTAGCTGAAAAGCATTCTTTTAAGTCTGATTGGCACAAGCTATATGCCTACAGCATAATGCTGAGGACAGCCTTGTCTGTAGAATCAGCATCCCAAAATAAACTTCAGCTCCCTCAAGGCAGTGTGAACCCAGCTGATCAATCTCCACAAATGTTGTTCTTAAACTGATGAAATATTTCCCATGTTTATGAAACCAAACTGAAACAGATCTGTTGCTTAGGTTTTCCCAGTGAGTAATCCAGTAGTGTTTTTCCTCAAGGAAATTAATATTTTTTCACGGTACTGTGTTTCAGAACATGTCTCTCTTTTTCCCCTTTTAAGAAGCTCAGGGGGGAAGAGCAGAGCCCTCAAGGACCCCCTGTGAAGGATTCAGGGTGATGCTCTCCCAAAGGAGGAGGGGGTTGTGTGAGCCATTGGCTAAAATAGGTGATTGATGTCAGCAGTGAAAGAGGAGTGGGGTGCTCTCTTGGAAAAGGAACTGCTCAAAATTCCAAGTACACCTTACCTTTGTGATCAGGGGCCTATCTCAGTGTTGATATTTAAGAGACAGAGACCTGCTTTTTGCTTTAGAGAGGAAAGGATGTTATGTGCATTACTGAGTTGCCATATACACGTCTGCTCTTCCTTAGACAACTTTATTCCAAACTCTCCTTCTCTCCCTACAGCTGTGCAACAACTACACCAAGGAGAGAACCCTGCAGGGGACAAAACAGCTTCTAAAATGTGATTGGGGACTACCAGGAAACACCACAACAAATGCCCCAAACACAGGAAGGAGCCCAGCAGCTGCAGGAAGGCAGCATGAGGATCAACAGAGACACATGCCAGGTACAAAGAGGGTGAGATCCCAGAGCCCAGGCCAGCAGCCACACAGCCAGCCCTGCTCTGGTGGGGTTAGAAATCCCATCCTGGATGGCAGCTCCAGCTCCCTGCACAGGGAGAGAATAAGGGAGCATTTAACACCCTCAGTCTGCAAGACACAGACAGGAGGTGGTAAATACCTTGATAAGGAAACTGGAGTGAAAATACCAGCTTTAGGCAATCCAGATTTTATCAGGGAAGTATGCAGGAATGAGTAACTGCCTGACATGCAGATGTGCCTCTGCACAGTGCCAGCAGCCTGCCAGTCCCCACATCTGGCCTCAGGCAACACGCTCCCATTTCCAAACCCATGTGATTTGGGGGTATGCTGCGGAGGAATTTTTGTGTGGGGTTCTCACTTGGGCAATGGCAGTGCCCAGAATGAATCCACAGCTCCATGCCTGGAAGATTATCTACACTCAGCACTGGAGACTTGTTTTCCTGCTGTAAGAAGCAGCTTGGCATGTAAGCAAAGGCTGTGGCTCTGCTTAGCAATGACATGCATGTCACAGCATGGGAATCCATGTGTGCTGGTTGAAAACAAGATCCTGGAATCCAAGGGCTCAGCAAAGTCATAAAAATTACTCCTGAATATTGCTCAGTGAATGGATGGTGTCTTGTGGACTGTGGCTGTCACTGTGGGCCCAAGAGAAGACTTGTGCCCAGTCCCATAATTGTCTCTGCAATGTGAGTCACAAATTTGGTGGGAACAGATGGAAACTGAAGTGCTGTGAACTGGCACAACACAAATTCACACTTGAGGAGATTTGGGGATGGTGGGGAAAGAACCCCAGGGAAGTTGTAACCATACCAAGCCTGTCAGAGTTCAAGGAGTGTCTGGATGATGCTTGCAGTTGTATGGTTTCATTTTAAATAGTCCTGTGAGGAGGTGGGACTTGGACTCAATGCACTTTATGGGCCCTGCCCAACATAGGATATTCTGTGTTCTGATACAGCCAGCTTGAGTAATTGTTGCCTGGTCTCTTACTGTAGCCCTCAACTCCAATGCATGACAAAGGACCTGAGTGTTGGCTGTTCTCCCTCAGACTGCAGATCTCTAGGGAACCCATTGCCTGGGCTGTCATCAACCAAGGTGGAAATGTCTGTTCAGAGAGCCTGTCCTTGCCTGGCAGTGCTTTTCAGGGGTCTTACAGGCTTTTGGATCTTGTTGTTTGGTGTCAGCACTGATTCTTGATCAGGTTTTCAATAGAAGAGAAGGCACAACCAGCCCATTAGTTGATGGGAAGGGGAGGGTAGGAAGAGCTTGGCAGCTCAAAGGGATGTGCTGGAAACCTGAACAAGGAGAGAGGAGAGCCTTGCTGAAATGGTGAGGGGTTGGGCCAGCACACACCACTGTGCCACACCAGGGGATTGGCTGCCAGAGGGGCACAGGCTGTCTCCTTGGGGTGGTGCTTAGTGGGGCTAATGACAACCATAAGTAGGAAAATATGGATGCTATTGGAGAAAGAGGCCCAGGAATGGATAAAGAATAAATTGGCTGTGCTGTGTACAGAGAGGGCCAAACAGATGTTGGGCCTGATCCAGAGCCCATTGAGTTAGTGGAAAGGCTCCCTTTGGTTTCATTGGACGCTGCCTCAGACCCATTCCAGCTTCACAGGAAGCAGTGGAGACCAAGAGCAATAACTCGTGGTGGCTGGAGCGCTGTGAGCTGCAGAGGTGTGGCCAGGAGGGTTCATGCTGAAAACAGATGGGTCTGACAGACCAGTCCCCTTGGGCTGGGTCACCCCTCTGCTGCTCCCACACCCGGCCACGAGCAGCCTCACGTGGGTTTGGTCCTCTGGCCAGCACTTCGGCATAATTCTGAGCAGAGCTGGACTTTCTGCCTTCTGGTGCACCCTCCTACCAAAGCAGGTTCCTGAGTGATCTCGTGGTGGCCCAGGATTTAGAAACCAGTGATTTGAGCCATCCACAGAGAAGGAGGAAAGGAGGTCTGCTGAAAACTGTTGACCAGGGAGGAATTTTGTTGTGGACCAGCAAAAAAAATAATGTAAAGCAGGTGTTTCTGCAATTGTGAGGCATTTGTAAAGCCAGTGTGTCCAACAAGTCTCCCACTCACATTCTGGTCCACGTGACATGGCAAGGTCTGACACAGAGGACCGCAAATAGAAAACATCTCTCTGTACTAGTTGGCGTGCACCAGGGCCTCCCTCCCCTCTGCTCTCTGCTTTTCTGTTTATTTAGGTGTGTGTCTTTGTTTCTGTTTTTACATTTAGCATGAGTGGAGAGGAAGTGGGATTTTGTAGGGCTTAGGAGGCTGGAGCTCACCACACTTTGGAGCATGGGCCTTTGTTCGTCCTCACCCTGCAGGTGCGAGTGTTCGCAGGCCAGAGCCTCACTGGTATGAGCTGTCCCGGGCTCCAGGAGAGCTCCCTCCTCTGAGCCAGCCCATCTGAGCAGGCCTGTGGTGTGCAGAGGTGCAGGCATAGGCCATGCTGAGGCCAAGCTGCTCTCATGGTCAGGAGTGGGAACTGGAAGCTGAGTAGAATCCTTTATCTCCAGGTGATGGTACCAGGAGGAATGGATCAACCATGGCATGCAAAGATACCTCAACAAACAGCAGGTGCTGTTTTGTGCAGGGTTGGGAATTTACTGGAAATGTAATTTGGGGAATACTTCAATGTAGTTGAATTTAGGCCAGCTTGGAGAGGGGCAAGGAAGAAAGTTTTAAGGGTAAGTGCAGGGCTCTTTTCAGGACTCCCTTCCCCTCTGCAGCTATTTCCCTGCCCACACATGTATGCACAGCACCAGGACCAACCATGGCTTGGGCTGAGCTGTATTTTAGGTACTTAACAGGTTTCAATCATGACCCTGCAACACCCAATCTCCAAAACAGAACCTCTTGCTCTTATTGACAGTAGTGCATTTCTAGCCCTTTTTAAAAAGAAGCTGATTCCGAGAGAAGCCACTGAACTTCCTAAGTGAAGTAAGGTCAGTTTAGGGCTGGATGAATTGCCTGGCAGGAAGGTTGTGTGGAAGTTTGGCTATCCCACCATAGCACAGCAGAAGGAGAACGCCCCAGCCCTGACTTCCAGTCCTCTTTTTAACCATGCTGGCTTGTTTACATTTGGGTGGTAGATGGGTGGAGCCATTACTCCAGCTTTTTGGTTTATATCTGTCCATTTGGATGTCAATATAAACTGATGTAATTAATAATCGTGGCCGCTATTGGAAATGATTAGTCTGCTCATTTTCCATAAATATTGGCTGGCTGGCTTCACCTGGCAGAGGCTGGGAATTGTCATGGCAGAGATGAAAGCCCAGAGAATATGGGGATTCGTAACTCCATGAGAGCGGTGGTGTTTTCCAGTCTAACAAGACTGTTGGATTTATTCATAAGCAGGGTGCTGGAATGGGATTCGGGGAGCAATAGAGAAAGTGGTGGTATTTCAAAGCAAGTTCTGGTTTAATCAGAAAGTGAATTTCTCATTAAAATAAGCCCCAAACTAATGGGGGAACTTCTAAATGTCGGGGAAAAGTTGAAAAGTATCCAGGCTTTCTAATTAAGTAGCACTTCCCATTCCTACATCTCCAGCATGGCAGCCTTTGCTCTTGCACACCGAGTAGCTCCAGTGGGCAGAACCACATGTAAAATATAGCCGTGTTTGAACTTCAGGGCTGTTTATTCTACAAATGGGCTCCAATTCCAAATAACACTGATGCCAACCAGGTTTTTTCTCCCCAGGATTCAGGCATACAACACACTTTCCACTTTTGGATCTCATCATTCCATAACTCCAGAAATTGCAATATAAACCTTGGCTACTATGCACACTTCAACTTGAAAACACAGCAGTGATCTGGGATTTTAATTCAAGCAACTTTGAGAGTGGATTAGAAATAGGATCCAGATGCATCTCTAATAGTGAAAAGAAAAATTAGCAGAACATTGGAGCTGAAATGAACTCTGTCTCTCTTTCAGCTTTTTTTCCTCCCTTTTGCTTTGTAAGAGGAATTGCATAGACCTAAAGCACCATAATTAAATTGTCGTTTGTTCCTTGCCTTGGTAGAAGCTCTGCCCAGCTGAGCACATCTCAATTTCCACCCTGGGTATTTACCTACAGCACGGGGCTGGGAGTGGGGGGCAGTTTCTTACTTGTTTTAAGAAATGAGGAATCAGAGGCATGCAGAGCCTGTCTGGTAGAGTCTTCAGCGAGCGAGTTGCCAGGCTCTGCAGGTTATACATCATTAGCACACAGAGTGTCCAGGAGAGCCCAAAGCTTGTGCAGGTGTGCTGGCAAAGCTCTCACCACTTCCCTCCCTCCCTCCTCCCTCTCTGCCGCACTTGCAGCAAGCTGATACTTGAAACCCGATGTGGCAAAATCACAGAGAGCTCCTCTTGAGGCTGTCAGCTCCCAGCTCACCCAGCAGACGTGACGGTGAGAGGGCGCGTGGAGCCTGGAAGGGACTCGCTGGAAAAACAAAACCAGCGAGTCAAAAGCTTAGTGTGTTTTTCCATGAGTGTATGAAAAAAGTGTGAGTGTTTTTTTAAGCACTTTCAGATATTAGAAGTTTAGTGAATACAGAAACAGCTTCCTTTTTTTTCCCCCTCTTTTTTCCCCTGCCCTTGAACTTTCAGCATGATTATAGGGAATACATCCCAGGCTGTTTTCAATGACCCATTCACGTGGTGGGATTCTTTCAGCTTTTCCCAAAAGAGAGTGAGCTTCACTTGACCTCTGATCTGGCATTAGCTGCCATTATTTGTGCATCCTACTCAGATAATCAATAAAAGTGGATGGCATCTGAAAATAATTATACACACAGCTCTTCTCCAGCTTCCAAGATGAAGACAGAAGCTGGGAAAGGAGCCTTTGCATATTCAGCACTTGTTAAAAGAATGAAATATAGCGCTGTGTGTTATTGTTGTATCCCAAACTGCAGCAGTTTCTTTTGACATTGCATAGCACTCTGGCCACATGCACCTGAACACAAAGCTCATCAGCTTT